CCGTCGCGGCGCACGGCGGCGGCCCCCTCCCCTCCGGCGTTGGAATGCGTGGTGGGGCGCGGAGGCGTCCTTCTCCGGGAGGGGGAGGGAGGAGACGAGGAAAGCAAGCGGCCGGTGAAAGTAGGTACAGTGTCGCCGAGGCTCACCGAGCCAAGGCCCAGTAGTCCCAGGCCCAGTCCGGGTCGGGCCCAGCCGGGCCCAGTCGGGCCCACTGCCCTGGCCGGCACTTGGACCGGGACCACTGCCCGTGGGGGATCCTCTAGCCTAGGCACTGGTCGCCGGATACAATGAAATAATAAAAAGTTTGGGCTGGGTCGTAATGATGTACTTCCCCACAGTCAAACGAGTTACCACGCGAGTAAGTCACGCACGGGGCAGCGACGGACGAATGGACTCCTGGGTCCTACTACGCCAATCTGGCAAAAAAAAAAAAAACAATGACGCTCGCGTGAATTGGCTTCCTGGTACGCTTTTATCTGTGACCACAAAAAAATCTAAAAATAGGCAGATTTGCGAGTCTTACGTGTCAGTCTCAACTACACAATGGTGGTCAAAGTTTCGGTTAAAATTTCAATCTTGCCAACGCAAATTTGTGGTCGGTGTCTTGGTCGAAGTCTCCGTGTTCTTCTCAGAGTTGATGTAGTCGAAAATTCGGCCGTGTGGTCGACGCGACACGTCAGTCGCTCCGTCTCTCTCGCACCCGTGCGAGTGACAGAGGCAGAGCGACGGCGGCACTGTAGAGCCTGCAGGTGCAAAGGCCCCGCGCCAGCCGCGGCGCTAGCCCTGGCCGTGGACCCCACCGAGGCTGTCGACCCCGCATGCCTCCAGGCTCGCCTCCAGACCGCCCCTAGCTTTCTGCGCGGCCCGGACGTGCACGGCGGCGCGGTTCGGCCGGGTCACCGGTCCCAGAGTGGGTCTCGCTGAATGCAATCGCAAGTCATCCTGGACAATAATTTCATTCCTGCAGCCGCCCTACGGCTCGGCCCTGGCGCACAGCGCGCACTGTTCGCGATTCTGGTTTGCAAAAAAGGGAGGGGAAGGGGGGGCCGGTGAAAGTGCAGCCTGGAGGGGGCCCCTCCCTCCCCCCTCCCTGCCCCCTCCGCGCGACGCTGCTGCTCACTTGCGCTGTGTGCCAATGCCCTCGATCCGCGAGGCGGCGCGGCAGCGAGCAGCACAGTGTGCCGCACACCGGATCTGCCGCGCCGCGCCGTGCCGTGCCGCGCCGCGCCGTGCAGAGCGTCATTCGCGTTGATTCATGACAGGCTGGCCGGGCTTCATGGAACGGCAGGTCGAGTGCTTCGCGTGGAGCGAGTCATGGACCGGTCGCCGTTTCGGGGGCCTTCATGCCTTTATGGCCTCATGGCAGCCAAGAGCGCAACTCGCAAGCAGTTTCCGTGCGACACTGTGAGAAAAAAGTACGGAAAAAGTACGGAACATGTCTGGTCAATAATTTGCCTGGACCGTCCGTACTTGCCAACTACGGAACGTTCCGTACCTTTTTTCCGTACCCATTTACATGGGTTCATATGGAGCAAGTACGGAACGTTCCGTACTTTTCTCCGTACCTCCCTACTATATTTTTCTGTACCATTTCCGTACAAAAGTACGGAATTTTTTACAGTGGACGTACCCCGTCCTGCAGACCGATTCCGAGAGTGGTTTTCGCTGCGGTCTCCCTCGCACCAACACAGGGCGCCCTGTGAGTGCGAGAGAGACGAAAGTGACTGGTCCAATTGCCCCTGTGTGAGCGTCTTTTAGGGCCACCGGTCGTATCAACGGCCCGGCCAAAAGCAATGACATGTTAAGGGCGTCGTTAGAAAGTACGCGGACTTTTCGCCGGGGCTTTAGTTAATGCAGGTCGGCGCCGGCTGCGCGGCCCGGCCGCGGTGTAGCCCGGGGCGCTCGCAGCCGAGCCGCGCAGCAGTGGCGGCGCTAGTCTCCTTTTTTTCCTATTCTGCTTCGCACCAAAGTCGTGGCAAACCTGCAGTCGGATTCCGAACGGCGCTCCGTCTCTCTCTTGCCCGCGGACGCGACGCCCCGCGAGTGCGAGAGAGACCGCGCGACGAAAGCACAGGCTCGGAATCGACCCGCTGGCGAAATTAACATTGTCCGTAAAGACAATGGCGGCCTCTGGGAAGTGGAGCGGGCCCTCCGCGGTGTCCACGCCGCCGGGTGTCTTGGACGCGGGGGGATCAAGGCTCGGTCCGGGGCGGCGCGCCGTGGCGCGGGCCGAAGGTCGGCACGGCACGGCGTGGCGTGGTGTTGGTTCGCGTCGTAGGACCCACGAGAAACCCGCGGCGACGCGGAGTGGCACGGCACGGCACGGCATGGGTACGCCGCGCGCACAGCACCCACGCCGCCCGCGGCACGACGTGAATGGGGGAATGGAGGCGCACTTCGCACGGCCACACATAAAGGTGCGGCATGGGCTGCGAGGAGAGAGAGAGAGAGAGAGAGAGAGAGAGAGAGAGAGAGAGAGAGAGAGAGAGAGAGAGAGAGAGAGAGAGAGAGAGAGAGAGAGAGAGAGAGAGAAGAGAGAAGGGAGAGAGGCAGACACAGAGACATAGAGATGCCGGAGCGCCGGCTTGCCGGGGATTCTCGAGCAGCGCGGTAGTGTTGTTGTTTTTCCGCGGTCCATCTCAGCGGCCGTCTGGCGGGGACGCGTTTCACTGATGACCCAGGGCGATGACGCTCCGCAGCGGCGCCAAGCGGGGCAAAAAGTTGGACCCGGCGATGTGATGGTTTTATTTCGATTTCACAATCCGCGCGCAGCGACCGTCTGACGGACGTTTCGGACCGAGGTTTAGTACAGTGTCAGCCAGGGCAAGAACGACTCAGAATCTAGAGGAAGATTGAGATTTTTTGACGGAAGTTGGACGCGAGCGGATGGAGGAGGAAGAGACGGGAAGAAATTGGTGTTTGTTCGTTGACTCGTTCGTTCGCGCGCGTGTTTGTTTGTTGGTTTGTTTGTTTGTCATGCGTGGTCGTGGTCGTCCTGTCGGCCGAGTCTTGGATAAACATCCGTTCGAAGCCGGAGTGGCTCGGAGTGGCTCGGAGTGGCTCGGAGTGGGACAGGTGCAAGCAGCGAAGCAGCGGCACTCACGGACGCCACAAAGACGGGAACGAAGACAGGGAACGAATGACAGGCGGAGGGGAATCACAACACGACAGCCGCAGACAAATGCGTTTTTCTAATTTGTGTCTGCCGCTCCCGATAATTAACCCCGACACGTGCGCGCCGTGAGTCAGACAGAGAGAAGTAGACTGAGAGGAAGAACAAAGACACCGGGCGAGGGGCGGCGAGGGAGCCGGCGGGGGGACGGAGCGGGAGATACCAGAAGTGGGTGACCCGGTCCGCGGCGGCCTGGTTGCGGCGGGGCGGTGAAGGGGGCGGTGAAGGGGAGAGGGGAGGGGGGCGGAGAGGGGGCCGGTGAGGGGCCGTGCCGGGCGGCCGGCTAACGGTACCTGGAGAGGCTTGTAGCGACCGGGCCGTGGCGAGCCGCGCCGGCCGCGCCGCGCCAACCGCCTCGCGCCTCGCGGTGAGTCAGACAAGGGGCCGGCCCAACAGAGGAAAACGAAAGTCGACCATTTCGTAGAAAAAATGGCCGAAAATGGGTCTTTGGCTGTGCAAGGATTGGTTTCGTGGTGACGACAAAGCACGGCGACGGTCCGAGCGGCGCTGCCTCGCTGCCGCGCTGCTGGGCGGCCGAGCGCCCGGCGCCGTAGGCAACGCGGTGCATACGGGTGCAGCCTGGTTGCCTGCCGCGCAGGCGCTCGCCGCGCCGCCGAGCCATTGCCATGATGATCGTACGCCGTCCGTTCACGACACTGGAAGACAGCGATTGAACCGCTGGTATTTCGTCCCACAGTGGGCTGACGGCTGACACTTCGGGCCCATTCGGGCCGAGTGGAGCGGATCTGGACCAGGGTCTCGAGCCAGTCGCTGGCGGCGAAGCCTAGCCGAAGCCAGGGCGAAGCCCAGCCGAGCGGAAAAGTGTCCGTCACCGTCGTGCCGTAGTTCGGTTCGGTTGACGAGTCGCATCGGATCGGATCACTCCGCGAGGCGCTGCGCTGCGCTGCGCGGCGCGGCGGTGTCACAGACAGGCCGTCATGGTCGCGAGGGCGAGGGCCGGCGAGGCACGCCAGGGGTCGCGTCGAAACAGCCGAAACAGCGGCCACTGGACTGGAACTGGAAACAGCCCCTGTTGGCCACGCGGGCTTGACGAAAATTCACCAGCGCTCGCGTCTTTTCGACGGAGAAATAAGCTTTTTTGTCGACGACATCGTTGTTTCGACTGAGCCTTCGTTGAGCTTCCTGGACGCGGTTGGACGTTGGTCGCCTTGATGGTCATTACTCTTTTCTGCTCTTGATTCGAGCAACGGGACCCTTGGGTCAGGGTACGTCGAGATGCATAGGTACAAAGGTGGGGTGAGGATGTCGCGGCCAGTGTCGTTGAATTCGCAGGCTGCTTGTGGCGAAGAACGAGTCGCGTGGGCATGCGTCGCGAGCCGCCTGCGCCGTGTCCGGCTGGGGTCAATGGCGTGGTCGCCGGCCTAGCCCAGCCAGCCCGCGCAGTGCGGAGCGCGGAGCTAGCCGAGCCAACACTTTCTTTTTCCTTGTTCCTGCAGAGGATGCACTGCACACCGCAGAGCCGAGCCTCGCCTAGCCGAGTCCTGCCGAGCGGAGCCGAGCCGAGCCGAGCCGGGCCGCCGAGCCCCGGCGCGCCCGGCCACTAGCACTGCCGCCTTGCCTTATTTCTGCCTGTCAGGTGGTGGATGCGCAACTTTCACTTCTCCGGCCTTTTCACGACGATGGTCCGCGGCTCCGCGGCGCCCCTCCAGCCCCTCCGGCGGGGCTGCCTGCCCCCACGCCCCGCGGGGGGTCCGGGCGGGGCCGCGTGGCAACGTACTTTGCGCGGAGCAATGCCCTTGCCGCGGCGCCGCGCCGTGCCACGCCGTGCCGCGTCCTGGTCCTCATGGTTGTCGACTCGTTGTTGCAGGTGGTTCCCCGCTGGTCCCAGCGATGCAGCCTGCGCAGCCTGCGCCCTGCTCCCTCTGGCGCGGCGAGCCGTGTGCGCCTAGCCTCGGATGACGGCGTCCGGCCACGCTCTAGGCCTTGATGGACTGCAGTGAGACCGCCGTGCTGATAGGCAACCGCTGCGGGCTGTGGAGCGGCCTGCCCGCACTGCCCCGCACTGCGCCGCCCCGCTCCGCCCCGCAGAGACCAGCGCCGCCCCGGACGGCGCCTCGCCCGGCCCCGCCGCAGCCGCCCCCGCCGTCGCTGGCCGCCAGGCCCGCCAGCCGGGCCACCGCCGCCAGCTCCCCCGGCTACCCGATGAAGTTCCAAGGCGGCGACTCGGAGCTGCTGGGCATGCCGGCCGACTCGCTACTCATGGGCTCCATGACGTGCTGGGGGTCCGGACTCTCCGGACTGCCTAGCCCCGACCAGTACAAGCTGCTGCTGGACGAGGACAAGGGCTCCCTGGACTCGCTCGACTCCAAGGTGGCCATGGACACGTTGGACAGCTTGCTCCTCTCCTCCACTGACGACGTCAACGACGTGGACGACGTCGTGACGGAGGACAACTTCGCCGAACTGAAGCCCCTGCCGCCGTTCACGGGCTACACAGGCCACCTCAGCATCAACGGCATCTCCGGCCACCACTATCACACGATAGCGGCGCCGCTGTCCCCGGACATCGTGGAGACGAGCCTGGAGAACAACAACAACACCCAGGTGCAGAACCACAACCATGTGCACACGTCGGACTCGGCGTCGACGGCGTCCACGGCGTCCAACGGCTCGAGCGTGGGGCTGTCCTACTACCAGGACCAGCACGTGGTGTCCTCGTCCACGGGCTGCGGCCTGGACTGCGGCGACATCAAGGAGGAGGCCTCGGACTACACGAGCCTCCTGGACAACGAGGACATCGCCGCGCTCATCGGGTCGGCCATCGCGGACACCACGGTGCCCAGCGTGGTGGACAGCGTCAACGACGTGGGCGACGCGTCACGGGACTCCTGGATGGACCTGGACGCGTGGATCGACACGGCCTGCTCCAACGACACCAAGTCCACCATGCTGCCCGTGTCGCTGCAGGACTTCTCGGGCTCGCAGTTCTCCGTGAGCCCGCCCCCGCCCGCGCCCACGGCCACGCCGGTGTCGCAGGGCTCGCAGGGGTCGCAGGGGTCCGGGTCGACGCCCACCACGCTGCAGTCGCTGCTGGGCTACCCGGTGCAGCAGCAGCCCATGCTGGTGAAGCGCGAGGCCACCACGTCGTGCTCCTCGTTCACGTCGAGCGGGCTGCTGGCCGTGAAGCGCGAGGCCACGACGTCGTCCTTCGCGGGGCCGCCGGGGCCGGCGTCGTCCCTGCTGCACAGCCGCCTGCAGAACGGGCCTCCCCCCGCGGCGCGCGCGCCGCCCAGCCCGCCCTCGCACGTGGTGTCCACGACGGACCCCAGCCACGGCCTGCGCTACCACTACTCGCCCACGTCCACCACGCCCAGCCCCGCCGGCAGCAAGAAGTCGCGGAACCGCAGCAAAAACAAGAACAGCAGCACCAGCTCGTCCAGCTCCGTGGCCTCCAGCTCCAGCCTGGTGTACACGGCGGACGGGCTGCTGGGCAAGGAGAAGCCCGTGCACCGGTGCAACATCTGCTCGCGGGGCTTCCTCAACAAGAGCAACATCAAGGTGCACCTGCGCACGCACACTGGCGAGAAGCCCTTCCGTTGCGAGGTGTGCGGCAAGGCGTTCCGGCAAAAGGCGCACCTGCTCAAGCACGCCATGATCCACAAGCGCATCGGGCGCGACGACCCGCACGGCTACCCGCACGAACTGCGCTGCGACTAGCTAGCTAGCCGGACCAAAGTGCGACGTCGCCCGCAGTGAAAACGACTTGCTGTGCCGGCCGCGCTAGCGTGGCGTTGCGGTGTGACAGTGCGTTTGTGTGAGTGTGTGCGTGAGTGAGTGAGTGAGTGAGTGTGTGAACGTGGGTTTGCGGCTGTCCTGGTGTACAGTTTTTTAACGTAATATTTTATTTCTCTTGTCGGTTGTGATTCGCCTTGTTTTCTGTTGGCTATGCTGTAATTTATTATTCTGTTTTTTTTTTTGTTTGCATATTATATTTAAATAGTTTTAATGTGCGGTTGTATTGATGTTTCGTAGATTAAATTAAAACTCGGGTACCTTCTCTGACACCTTGGAATCAGGCCGCACTACAACGAGGCCGCTATGTCACTAAACAGCAATCGCAAATGATATTTGTCAATTTTGAGTCTCTTAAAATTAATATTAGGTTTTTAGCATAAGGGCCCACACAAATATAAACAGTATTAAACTTTTGATGCGCCAAGTTGACAACATTCAAGTTTTGAGCGTTGGGCAACTGCTTGTCCACCTGTTTACTCTTCTTCAGACGTGTATGTTTGAGGTGATAGCCTCCTATTCTTTAACTTATTTATTTCCAAGCAGAATAGTTTAACAGGCTATCACGTCAAATGTTCGAACAAGTTTCTGAATGAAAAGAAAACGAATGTCGAAAGCACTTTGGCCGTGTAGCTCCAGAGCTAGTTTTTAATGGCGAAGGATCTTCATTTTATTCGACAGTTAAGGTTTGAATCGCGGGCTAGTAACCAAAGTGGTGCATGACTGAGATTAGATGATACTAACGGAAGCGTTGTTTGTCATCGAAATAAGCTCCTTTCGGATTTTATGAATTGTGTGAAAAATTCACTCTAAGGCGATTTGTTAGTTTGTTTTTGTTCTTTGCCAGGACCGTACTAAATCGTAATGTTCTTAATTAATGCTTTACTGTGCGCTGTGGGCCGATGGCGGCCGATAGCCCAATCGGGAACGAACCTCGCTAGTGGTCCCTCAGGGTGTTGGATGCGCTGGGACGGGAGCTGATCTCAACCCTGGAATCTCCACTACGCAAGATCATCAATTGTTGACTTTTTTACTTTTGTATATTGTTGTATAATTAAACCGTGCAATCTCTTTGTGTTGAAATTACTTGCTGAGTCTAAGACTGTGATCGTCCCCGTCGCACAACCCTTCTTTGGGAAATCGGTACTTTCAGTATCGTTGGTACAAACTTCTACACTTCCCTTGTTTAAGGCCTAATTTATTGTTGGTAAAAGAAATTATTCTTCTCTCTATGAACAGATCTGAGACCCAAGTCTGATGAGACACGTACTACAATATTGGTTCCATCTTCATAGATTGTACATAGAAATAAATATTATTTTGTATACTTCTTGTATATACCTAGATGATAAAAAATTATTTATATATTATAATATGTTTCTAATGTTTCTTTTTTTCCTGTATGCTCTGTTGTCATTACCTTCTTAAAGTAGCAGTCCTTGTCATTGCAACACTGTACACTCTCCTTTATGGCAAACACAACGAATGTAAAAATGCAATTTTATTTATTTTGAGTAAAAGATATTGTGATTTTTGAAACCGATGTACTTCTGGATTCTTTGTTGTCCCTCTGCAATTTAGTAAATTAAAAATTTCGATTTTGCATGAATTTGAGCCCTGTCGCAAAGCGTGGTTGTTCTCTCTCACTAAAATTACAGAACGACCTACCGCCAAAATTGTAACTTTTTAAACAAAAAAAAACATGTACTTCCTAAATTGCGACACCCAAGATACCGCTGTACATTGACTGTGTTGTTTTCTTTATTAAAGTAAGAAGTTGTTGAACAAATTGATGTTTCCGTTTCTTTTCCCTTCCTTCTACTGCCACCAAAAAACGAAACGAACTGAATTACAAAAAGAGCACACGACAACTAAAGGCTCTCAACAAAGGGGGCTGCACAAATAAGAAATCGCAATTTCACAACAAATTTTCACGAGAAACTAGAGAGATCAAAAATGAATTGGTCAAGATCGCCATCTTTTTTGGGGTTTCAACTGGACGGTGACAATGTAATTTCCAACAGTGGCGGCGCCCTGTTTACACGGAAGCTGAACTTGAACAGCAGCGGCGTGCAATTTGCATTGTCGGCATGGTCCTGGCGGTCGTCCTGGCGGCCAAAGGGCATCGCGATGTGGGCTAGGGTGGCCCGGCGTCCTGGAGGCGCTCCAGAGAAAGTGGTAGGAACACGACGCACGGCCAGCGGGCTAATAGAGGTTCCAAAGGACAACATTCAACTATTATCGGGCGGCCGGTGGCGACAAAGTATAGGCGATAAAATGTTGCGTGTTTTTTTTTTTTTTTTTTTTCGAGTAGTAATTCAAGCAGGACCGGCCGAGCGGTGTGGCGGTATCTCACTGCGCCTTGCAGTCATCGAATATGATTCAGAGCCGCCCCAGTCGTTAGGAGGCACGCAGGGGCCGCTTGGCATTAGACTCTTTATTCGTACTCGGGACGTACTGGGACGGGCTCAAAAAAAGGAGAGAGAGAGAAACACGGGAAGGGCAGTCCCGTTACGGCCAGGGACGCCATTTTGTTCCTTTTTGTCCTTTTTTGTCCCTTTTTGGCCTTCCAGTTCGGCAGAGCTGCCCGTTTAGGTGTGTCTTTGGCGGAACAAACTAGCGTGGCTGGGGTTGGGCGGGCGGGGGCGGGCGGGGGCGGCCGTGGCGTGCACCGCCATGCAGCGGACACAGCCAGGGCAGCCAGGACGGGGGCCGTGCAGGTTGGCCAACCCATTGCCACACTGCGGAGCTCGCGGTGCTCGCGGTGCAAGGTGACCTTGAGGCCAGGATGCAGACGTGGCCTACCGTGGCGCCAAACCCCGGCCGCCGTCAGGAGGGACATGTCTAGCCCTTAATGGTAATGGCAATTACGGGTAGGCAATCCAACGCACAGGCGGTTGGCGGGCTGCCTACCCTGTGCCCGTAAGGCGCCATGGCGCCTGGCAGGTAGGCAATCCAACGCACAGGCGTACGCGGGTTGCCTACCCTGTGCGCGTAAGGGGCCATGGCGCAGGGGGCCGCCACGGTAGGCAATCTGATGCGGACGCAGCGAGCGTGCTACTAGGTGAATCCGGACTGCATTGTGTGGGTGGCGAACAAGGCCGTGGTGCTGGGGGAACGCACGCTTCGCACGCAAAGGACGGAAAGCAGCAGCAGGGACTTGGCCGCCGGGAGGAGCGCGGCGAGGCCGCCACGTACTCGGCGCGCGGGTCAGACAGGTGCGCACCAGGACTCCCGCAAGCACCACCACGCCGGACACCGCCGCGGAGAGGCCGCGGAGAGGCCGCGGGAAGACGGGCAGGGTATTCATAGAAGCCAATCACTCTGAGTGATAATCGCGAACGCAGCCCGTGCTGTGTCCAGCCGCCTATCAGCCGCGGCGATGCGGGCCTGGCGGCCTGCGGGGCCCCGTAGTGCACGGCTGTGGCACTGCTGCGGCTCTGCTGCGGCACTGCTGCCCCGCCACCAAAAGTGTGTCGCGCGGCGCGGCTTCGCGCACGAGCCTAGATAAGCCTCCACGTGGCCAGCACACACACACACACACACACACACACACACACACACACACACACACACACACACACACACACACACACAGAGTGGAGGCTCGCGGAAAGTGAGAGCAGATTAGGGAGATGAGGGGCAGCGAGGCGGCCAGCGGGCCGATGCCGGGAGGAAGGCGCATCTCTCTCTCTCTCGCACCGCAGCGGACCGCCATTCGAGTGCGAGAGAGAGAGAGATAGCGAATGGCAGCGTTCGGAATGAGCAGCCCAGTCTGGCCAAGCTGGCGGCGTGGGACCCCATGGCTTGATGAGAACCAGGGGAACAGGGAACCGCATACCCCGCCAGAAACGGAACGCGGCAACACGCGCGTTTTTGAGAAAATAAACCGAGACGTTCATCCAAGGGTTGAACTCGACTGCAAACTGCAGCCTCCCCTCCACGGCACGGCCTGGGAGATAGAAATTGGGGACGAAGAGCTTGGGAAATCGGGGGCGGCAATAAGGAGTTTGTCCAAACAACAAAAGGCAAATAAAAAGGATTTCATGCGCTCTGAACGTAATTCACGTTGTGACTCGGAGTTACTGTCGTTCGGATCGCGTCGGAAGACGGCAGAGACAAAGGGGGAGGGGGAGCGGCCTGGGAATCAGAGGGGCGGGGGAAGGGGGGCACAAGTAGCGTGCTGACCTACATAACTCGTGAGATCAAGCAAAAGAGCTTCGGCTGGCTGCGCCGCGCAGCGCCGCACCGCAGCTGTCGTATCGCCCTGAACCTGAACCAGAACCAGAGCGGCGGAGCGCAGGTGGGGTGCTCTTGCGGAAAGCGCGACGCTACCGGGAACAGCGAAGCAGCGAACCGAACAGGGCGGCATTCTTCCAAATTCGGAGCAGACGATGGACAGCGCGTGCAGCAGTAGGCGGCCCAAAAAGGAGCAGACAAAGTACAAACAGCACGCAGGTCCAGAACTTGGCGCGTAAAATTCGCGGGAATCTTCCCCCTGCCTAGAGCCGAGGACCCGAACCTCGCGGCAGCGCGCGCGAATTCTCCTGCGAGCGTTGAACTTGAACCTTGACTTTCACTTCGCCGGCTCGCCGCCCGCCCTCCTCCACTCCTGCTCCCAGGATGGCCTACGTCCGAATAAAAGGGGAGGGGAAGGGGAGGGAGGGGGGCTCAATGTGAAAAATGCCAAGCGGCGAAAGAAGGCACGGCTGGGTTAAGCCCTCCTAGGTACACCGGGGGTACACAGTGAAAGTTCGGGCGTCACGGCACGCTATGGTCCGGACCGGTCCCGCGGGCAGGCAGGCAAGCAGCCAGCCAGGCAGGCAGGCAGGCAGCCACCACACGAGGCAGCCCAAGCCCAAACATTCCCCCAGACGGCCTGCGCGACGGCCTGCACGTTCTGGACGAGGCTCGCTGACGTCACGGACACAAGGGGGTTATTATTTCGGAGGAACGACACGGGACGGCCTGCATCGCTCTGTCTCTCTCGCACCGCTGCGGGACGCCGCACCGGAGCGAGAGAGACAGGGCGACTGGGAATATCTGTCTGCTGGACGAGCACGTCGACTCGTCATCCGGCAGGCGGGCAGGCCGTCGGGCCGGCGGGGCAGATTGCAGGCAGGGCGGCCAGATCCGGGTCGGGACGACGGCCACGCTCGGCCACGCTCGGCCACGCTCGGCCACGCTCGCACAGTGGGCCAGAAGACCGGCGGAGGCGGCCAAAACTCTTGACGCGTTTTGAGCTCCAGAGTCGCTAAATAGGACTCGAACCGAACGTGTGACCCCACCAATGGATTCCTCGTTCGGAGAGCAATTCATTGATGGGATCACACGTTCGGTTCGAGTCTCACTTAGCGACTCTGGAGCTGAAAACGCGTCCAGAGTTTTGGCCGCCTCCGCCAGTGCTGTTAAAGTTAATTTTTTTTGTTAACGAGTTAAAGTTAAGCCGTTAACCTAACCGAATTAACGTACTCGTTAAAGTTAAGGCTCTTCAGCATTAGTTAACGAGTTAACGTTAAATTAACGCATTAACGAAGTTAAAGTTAGTTTTACTTCTTGATGAACCGAAGACGTTGTGTGATTTCTTGATTTTTGACAGATTTTCAGTCCTCAAGATGCCAAAAAATGACTAACTTTCAAAACCTTTCACAAAAATTGAGGTTTTGTTAATTTTCTTTCACCCAAGACATAAATTCTACATATTGTATGACCCAAATGTCGGCAAAATATGCATACACAGATGAACAAAAGTAAACGTTAACGGCGTTAAGAAGTTTAACATTCCTACTTAACTTAACTCGTTAACGTTAAGACATTCTGACTACTTTAACGAGTTAACGTTAATTCGTTAATTAACGTTAACGGCGTTAAGTAACTTCGTTAATCGTTAAATTAACTTTAACAGCACTGGCCTCCGCCGGTCTTCTGGCCCACTGTGGCTCGGCCGGCCCAGCGATCCGTCATTAAGAAGTCCGACTCCCGAATTCAATCGGAGTCGTCCTCCCGAACGCGAAACGGGGTCACCTGCGGCTGGGGGAGCTTTTCGAAAGGGTGACCCGAAAATGGCACGAGAGTAAGAAGAAGAAGAAGAAACAACAACAGTCAGCTGTCAAAATCAAAATGACGGCCCCTTTATACACTCGCATTCAACTTTAGATATATGTGAAAAAAAGAACGCCCAGAAAGAAATTCTCTTGAATTCTCTTCGAAGCAAAATAAATTCGGGAAACGCGTCGGAGTGAAAAGCATCAGATTGTCATGTTCTCGGATTCCCTGCGTGGGTTTCATGCACAGCAATCGATGCACGGTGATGTGGGTGAGACGAGGGGTACCTCACTTCAAAAATGGGTGTACACTGACTGGTGACTAGAGTGAATTTCCACTTTGATTAGATGGAAAATTTAATGAAATGCGACACAAATTTGCTGCAAATAGGGCAAAGATACGTTGTTGTGCCGTCTTTTTAAGGGACTAGACTAAAACAAGGCAGTGACTAGAGTCGGGGGTGTACACTGACTAGACGAGGTGAGGGACCCCTCGGGGTGAGACGGGAATATTCGCACACAAGGCTCGCTGCCTCCCGCCGGCTCGCAGCGCCGCGCTCGGAGCGAGCTCGGAGCAAGCGAGTTGCCACAATGTTAAGGTCAGGGTAGCGCGGCGCGGCGGCGCGGCGGCGTCGCCTCGACTCGGCTCCACTCGGAGCCCAGCCCGGGTCAAGACCCTTGCCGGGAAGGAAGGCGTGCGACGGAGTCGGCAGTGTACCGGCGCGGCGTGTGGAGTGTACCGGGT